ACCCCCTCCTCGACTCCCTCTTCACCGAAACCCTCCCAACCCCCGACGCAGTCCTCCCCCGCGCCCTCCAACTCGCCTCCGAAATCGTAGCAAACTGCTCCGGCGTCAGTCTGCACCTAATCAAAGAACTCATGTACCGCGGCCCAAGCACACCGGAAGCCACACACCTCTTGGACAGCCGTATCGTCTACGAATTATTCACGAGCAAAGATAACAAAGAAGGTGTACGAGCCTTCTTGGAGAAGCGGCCGACGAATTTCACGGGTACGATGCAGAATGATGCGCCTGCTGCTTGGCCGTGGTGGGATCCTGTGGCGACGGGGAATCGACCTGTGCAGAAGGGGTATAAGTTTAAGCCGAATCTGTAGAGGGAAGATGGGGTTAGGATACATATGAATGAAATTTGTTTATGAGTACAGAACTTTTGGTATTTGAATGTTGCTGAGTGCCCCAGTGAATCTATATGCTGAAGGCACTTTGTCTGTGTGGTAGGCTTTTTGTGATTAGAACAATGTTGGCAGATCGCGGCCTGAAGTTGTTTTATGAATACACTCGGGAGGGGGTTGTCTTAACTACCGATTTTATTATGGTAGAGGACATTGGTAACAGGATATCTGCTGTTTCCAACTGGATCCAATAGGCCGGTCTGCAGCTTGTTGCAGTTCTCGTCGTTTCAGCGTGCCTCGAAGCATTCTGATGAGCACTTTCCTTACAGCTGCATCTCGTTGTCGCTTCTCAGTTCGGAACCCTTGCTCTGAGAGATGCTGTGTTCACGCATAGCACTGCTCAGCGATTGCTCGATGCCCTTGCCTGCTCCAGTCTCGGTCCCAGTCTTGCTGTGCTCAGTGGAGCCCGCTGAGGTATCCTGAGCAGATCCCGCGTCGAGATCCATGGTTTCTCCAGCAGGTTTGGCGGTGGAAAGTGCCTTCTGCACTATCAAATCCTCCAAAGACAACTTATCGATGTAGTTGTTTTCCTGTATGAACTTCAAGCCCTCCTCGCTCAATCCCGGTTTCTTCTCTGCCTGCTTCGTGGTCTTCTCCTGAGCTTTTCCATTTTCACCTTCACCGGCTGCTTCAAGTCCCTGCACCACGGAGATGCTGCCGCTCGGACCAGACCAAGCCAAGCTGTACTTGAGTCCGTTCTTCTCAGCCGTAGATGCAGCGATCTTTCTCCTCGTTCTGCCCACCTGCTTCCGCTCACCCTTCCTCAGACCCCTGCCAAGCATCTTCTCGACCTCCTTGTATTCATTCTGCTGTTTCTCGTTTCCTTCATGCCCATCGATCGGAAGCTTAGAAGCCCCTAGTACCTTCGATCCTACTACGGTCCGGATGACCTTCTCCACCTCCCTCTTCTCGTTCCTTCGCTCCTTCATCACGCGCTTCTTCACTTCTCTCTTCGTCTGTCCCTCTGGGACAAGGAATTGCTTCTGATTCCTCTCCTTCTTGTTCTCAGCTAGAATGATCGCAATGGCTTGGTCGATATCTTGCAAAAGCAGACCCTCACGGTTCTCCCAGACCGTAGGCTCCACAGCATGGACCTTGCATTGTTTCCAGATATCCTTCGGCATGGTCGAGACTCTCGAATGGGGCTTAGGTACACTAGCTTCCTCAACAGCTCGACGCGTCTTGTGGGCGTACCGCATCAGGCGAAGAGCTTCATCGTGTTTCTTTGCGGTGAGATACGCGAGCTTGTCGAGACGAGTGAGCATTGCGAGTGAGTATGGCGTCTTCTTCTCCAGCTCAGGAGGCAAACAGCACGTTGCAACATCAACTCCGCGCCAATGCTTTTCGATGCGGTGGATCGACAGAGCGTGGAGTCGAGCTGCTGCTGGCATGTCCTTGGCTTGTTCTGCAGTGTACTTATGGGCGGGTGGGACGCTCCAGAAGGTGGTTCCGCCGTGCATGCCCATTGGCTTCTGCAGGAACTGGCCATTGCTGAGGGCGGTGATCGTGCTCTGCGGTGACACGGTGAGGGTGGAATCTTCGCTTGCTGGAGACAGGGATGGAGCAGAGCTTTGACGGGAGACCGGTGGCTTTTGTCGGAGTGCCAGTACGCTTGGGCTCTCTGCTACGTCTGCCACCATCACGTTGTCGACCATCTCGGGTACCCAATTTGGAAGTGGTTGCTGCACCCACTGAATGCTTGCCATTCTCGCAATGCTGTCTTGCCCAGACTCGTCAATTCTGACACTGTAGATGTACCGGATCGAGGCCCAATAATGCAAACGGCTCTTGGTGTTGGACGAAGCGTCTTCGATGTTTTGGTAGTTGGTCAAGTTATGCTGAAGAGTTTGACGAGTTTTGTGCGAGGCCTCGAGGCTTGCATGTGAAAGGTTACGCAAATAAGTCACCCTCAAAGGAGTCACATGCAAACACCCTCAAGGCAGCAAGCCGAGTCCGTTGTTGAAGTTCATCAGCTGAACGTGATTCGGCGTTGAGAGTGCGCCCCGGAAAGCTCAGAACAGCGTATCCCGAGCTCATTGAGTAGCCGTTGAGGTACCTGAGTGAGGCAAGACGGCCAACTTACCGACTCATATAACACGATCCAGGCAGTGGCGATCGGAGGTTGCCAGCATAAGAGAGTGCCATCTGATCTTGGGACCGCGTGAACTAGCCCCGGTGGCCCCACCGGACTTTCCCCATGTGGAAGCACATCAAGTGAATGGGACTGATACCACTATTGCACAAGGGTGCCTAAGGCTGGTAAACGAGCATGATCACTCGCATGCATAAAAGGATATCTAGAAACTACGACCCGCGCGCCGTCATGGGGTATCTCAGAACTCGTAATAAAAGGAAAGATCATGAATATCGCTCCATATGCCTGTGCGTTTATTGCGCCGATTCATCCAACACCTTCTGCAATGCACTCTTGTCAAGACTCTTCATAATTGGCGGATGTGAGATCTTGATCTCTGGTCCGAAGCCAGGTATGGGTCCCGACTGGTTGATGCCCGGAGGACGTAGCTTGGGTTTCTTGGGTGTCAGATCTCCATCTTCTGTAGATCGACCCGTGCTGCCAGATGCGACACTAACACTTCTGTTCATTTTTGGTGGGCTCACAGAAGCATTGGTATCGGTAACCGTCACGGTAGGTGCGGGCGATGCGCCCCATTTGCCGAACATCCAGCCACCGACTCTGCTGCCGAGCCCAGACTTATTCGAGCTGGGTTGTCGGCTGGCGGCAGGAGGATTCATGCCACTCAGCATGCGATGGCCACTGCCTGATGGCCGTGACATTGAAGCTGACACTTGCGCAGTGGTGTCACTGATCACTGCTTGTGGTGTGAAAGAACGACTACCATAAGGTGTCAAAAGCTGCGAGGGTCGAGACTTGAGCGTATGAATATCCATGCCACGACATGACATTATAGATTCATGCGAAGTGGCACGCCGTAGCATCCGAGGTCGCTCAAGAGCTTGTTGGATTTCGTCCGAGAGTGGCGAGATTGCATCAGAAGTATCATCTCCAGGGGTGTCGTCAGTGTTCTCCCAGTCGAGTTCGTCCTCCTCGGGTATTACTGCTTCGGGAGCCGCCTGTTGAGCGTCGAGCTCGCGCAGGTTCTCCGTGCTGGTATCGAGGATAGAGTCCAGAGAAGGTCGTCCGCGATGTGAAGAGACAGAAGGCCGCTGCGAGTGCATAGGTGCGCTTGTGATGCGTTTCGAGCCTATCGGAATGAACATTGGCGATCCCGGATCCTCTGTATCGGGTGTCGAAGGGCGTGATGACTCCTGTCCTGCATCGCTAAAGACGCGATCGAACACTGAAGAAGCACGATTTGAAGACTGCGGCGAGCTCGGACCGGAGAAGCTGCTTTGAACAGAGTGAGCTGACACGAACGATTGTTCTGACATGTATGACCATCGTTTTTGATGTGACGCTCGTTGTCCGGGCAGGCTTGCCGCGGTTTGCGACAATATGGCGGCAGTGTTCGAAGGAATTGAGAAAGAATGGCGAGGTGTGCTTAGACCAGAGGTCGGAGGCGTGTAGTGACCGGGAGTCAGAGCACCGTAGCGTTTCTTCTTGGGTCTTCGGACGATCGGCGTCTTTGGTGTGTTTGGTGCGTGGTAGTGATGGTGAACATGCAACTCTTGAGATGTGGCTCTTCTCATCTCTTCCTTCAGGTGCGGACGGATGGGCGAGGTAGTCGGGTCGGGTATATCTGCTGCCGAGACGACAGGCTGATGTACAGACAGCTGTTGTCTCAGGGTCTCCACCTCTTCATTGGAGTTCTGCAGCATGTCTCTCAATTCGACAATGCCCATCTGCAGATTCGCGTTGTCCTGGAGGATATCCTTGACAAAGTGCGAGACCACATTCGTCCCGCTTCCCGCGGTCTTGACGGCTGCTGCGCCTTTCAGCCTGCCGGCGGCCGAGTCCAGTTCCTTCTCGACAATGTGCTGTCGTTCCATGCGACCCAGCACTTCCACATGGCGTTCCTTTTCCTCCTTGGCTTCCTGCTCAATGCGTTCTATTTGCTCTTGCAGATGCGATAGTGTTCGCTGAGCTTCCTGCCATCTGCGAAGCGCTGTCTTCTCAGCCTCGTCCTTTTGTTCGAATGTCATCTGCCATGATGCCTGCTCTCTCTCGAAGTCCGCAAGTTGTTGCTCGAGACTCTCCGTTCGCGACTGTAAGTAAGACAACTTCTGAAGTTCCTGTTGAGTACTCCGCAATGTCGTCTGTAGGTTCGTGACCTGGGTATCGGAATCGGCGACAGCATTGTTCAATGATTCGAGTTGGTCCAAGAGTGACCGATTCTCTTCGATAGCGTTGGCGTTTTGTCTCTCCAAAGCCTGCTTCTCCACCTCCAGCGACTGAATCTGTGCGGCCATAGCCTTTCGTTCCTTCTCGGAGTCTTGGATGTAAGCCTCATGCCGCGTCAACAACGCCTGCAGCGAGAATATTAGCGACGACGCCATCTTTGCGCGATTCTTTTCCGGCACGCGCGTTGCGATTCCCTCCTCCCGTCATTACCCTTCGCGTGCAATCTTGCATACACGCGAACACGGTCTCGTGGAAGCCCGTTGCGCGTGTACACCGTCCGCCGAGCCGCACCAGCGTTTGGGAACGTCGGGTTCTGAGTCGACTCACCTTGCCAATCTGCGCGGCAGTCCGGACATCGCGCTCCAGCACCGACAGAGCCTGCTCGTTGTGTCGTAGGTATGCGCAGGCGGCGTCACCGCAACAACAGGTAATTGCTGGCCGGCGTTCTGGAATGCTGGGCACTTGGCCGGAGTCGTGGTAGGCGTCTAAGAAGGAGGTGATTGGATCCGCGTCGACCATGCTGACGCTACCTCTCGCGCGGCCGAGGCAGGAGCACTCATAGTATTTGTAGCAGGAGGAGAAATGGTTGCAGTGTAGAATGTGACGTGCCCGAGAGTGTTTGTGTGAGTTGTCGTTCTGCGCGAGGCTGGGGTGTTCCTTGAGTGGGGTGAACGTCGACGCATCAACAAAGCTAAATGACGCCAAGAGCGCTGTCCTGACCTGTCGTCTGCGCCTCTGACCAAGGCGTGCGTTCGTTCTTCCTACTTCACCTGGTACTAGTCTCACCGCGCTGTAGGCAGTCCACCGTCCAGGTCATGTGCCCGCGTGAGGCGGTGTCGGTGTCTTTTCGTGCTGTGCCCAGCGTGCTGCGGTACAACTGTCAGTCGTGAAGACGTCAGTCGCAACGCTGCAGCGGCCATGGGCAGGGAACACGCCTGGTCGCCGATCAATATTCATCCCGGCGCGATGGGAACCGGTGGTCTGCACAAAGAGCCGTTCCTGGCCCGTTGACAGACGTGTCCTTGTCCACGCCGCAGAATTTTCCACCGCCCGCAAGGACATCGATGCGGCCGCGCGTGAACAGGTGTAGCAACCACAAGTCGCGTCGACAGTCGCGTGTATCAAGTCGTGCATCAGCATAGCATGGCACGGCGGGGGCGAGTGGCGCTGCAATCTGACAGCAATCACAGCGTCGCCATCGTGTGACGACGGTAGATACCAAGACTAGCGCTAATAACGGTGCAGTGGCGAAGTGGACGAGTCTTGTTTGCTACCCAACGAAGACTTTCCGATGAAACTGCGTTTGGTTCAAGCTGCGAGATGGCAGCCTAGCGGTCGTGGCTGAATGCACTTCAGCACTTGCTACTCTGCAGTCAGACTCTCCATGCTCACACACGTCTCCCTGGTCACAAGTACAGCCACAAACAAGTCATCAAGACCATTCGTCCGACCGAGAGCCTAGTCAAACACTCCTCCAAAGCTCTCCATCTCAATCACTCCAGCTCCAAACATACAAGCGCTGAAGAAGTTTTGCAGATATGCCTCCCTCACGCCACTCCCGTGCAACAAAGGCAAGCGATTCGTTCGGCCCAGTGTCCACGTCGTCTTGTACAGACCGCTCGCCCCAATCGCGCCTCCATTGTTAGGCTGTGCCGAAGTGATAAGCTCGCAATGCCTCTTCGTGACGGCGCACACAGGAAATGCCATGACCCAATAATGTGCTGGTCGATCTCTCGGGGCTGCAAGTTCGCCAAATTGGATGACAAACCAGTCGAGAAAATCAGCACCATCTGTCATCGATGCATTGTCCTGGCGCGAAGAACGATCTATGCCTGCTTGGTTCGAGATCGTCATGCGGGTCACTTTCATTCCGTAGCCAGGTCCAGGCGATCTGCACCGTTCATGAAATGAGTTGCCAAAGTCGCGGAAGGTGAGTCCGAGGGTTTCACGTTGTGTTGAGTCCGTATTGGCATCATTCAGCCATTCGAGGATTCGGCGCGAGAGCGAAGGGGTCCAATAGAGGAAGTTTGGATGGTTGGGCAGGTCCGCGAGTTGAGGGACGCATGGTGGCGGAGACGCTTTGTGGTAAGTTGGAAGGAGTGGAGGAAATATGGTCGTGCGCTGAGTGTCAAAGGTCGGTATTGGCACCTGTGGGTGTATGGCTGCCGATGGCGGCTGCAAGTGCATCGCATCAAGACGTGGGCCGCCTGGGAATGGTATCGGCATCAGAGAAAAGGCGCCGTGCGACAGAGATGAGACTGGTCTCTGGATCGGGCGCACGGCTCTTGGGAGGTATGTGCCTCCATGTTCGACGCTGCTCGTGTCCATATCCCACGGGCGTTGCAGCTGCGGGATCGACAAGTGCAGGCCTTTGAGACGTTGAGCAGGCGGCTGCTCATTCTGCAAATCGTTCTGACACTTCCTCTTCAGACTCGGCCGCGCCGAGTGTATCGCATGGAGAGAAGCCTGCACCGGCACTGGACTCGCCATCTCGATCAATATCTCAGGAATGGGCTCAACCGGCATGGCATAGCCTCGATGCGCGGTTCTTGAGACTGGACCAAGCTGGACGCTGCCTTGGTTACGATCGTCCGCAACCCTCTGTGGCATCCTCCAAATCTTTACCTCCTTCTCGTCGTACCAAGGCTCAGGCACCCCATCGCTGGCGACAGCATCCAGTCGCCTCGATGACTCCTGGACACGCGGTAAATGCCTCGCGCGAAAAGCCTTAGACTCGAGTGCATCGAACCGCGCCTCGGTGGAGTGAAGTCGCATTGCGCCAGTGTCGTAATCTGTTTGCGGCGATGGAAGGCTTGTGTTTGGTGTTGAGAAAGCGTAGCGACGCTGCCCGGGCATGGTGAAGGGTGTTTCGTGTTGGCCACCTGATCAGCAGGGTGAGTTGTGCGGTTGAAACTCACGCGACCGTTGAGGAGGTGCTGAAGTGCAGGTGAATTCTGTGCTGCAGCAAGTCAAGCATGACTAACTTTCTGATTGTCACATGCTAACGGTGCAGTGAAGATTTGAGACGGCTACTGCCAGGAACCTCTTGTTTTCGGATGCAGATTGTTGACAAACAACTTCCTTGCCCTGGACCTATTTGTGGGCATCGTCGACGCAATGCTCTGCAACTCAGTCCTGAGACGTTGTTAACTTTTCACATAATATGCCACTATACAGCTTTACAAGAATGAGAACATGTACCTAGAAGTCTAATGCCGATGCTTATGCTTATGATGTCCAAAATGCCCGCCATGCTTGGGGGCGTCGGGCCCGTCGTGCGGCGATGCCTCTCTTCCCAAAAGACTCGGTGGATCCTCTTCCTGCTGTTGATTTTCCTCTTCCTGCTGTTGACTTTCCTCCTCCTGCTGTTCCTCCTCACCACTCCCCAACGACAGATCAACATCAATCTCCACATCCACATCCAGCAACGACCCCGGCGCATCCCCATAACTCGCCAACCCATCATACTCTTGATACACCCTCAACGCATTAACACTCCAATAAGCCTCCTTAAACGCCTCCGGACGCTTCTTCACCCAATCCTTGCAAATCATCCCCGTTTTCGCTGCACAAGTCGAATTCGACGCAAAATATGGTCCAAAACCATGTTTCTTTCCACTTTGCAGCCATGCACCAGAATTCGATGTTGCGTACGGTGGCCAAGTAGTATTCACTGGAATTGTTGAATTCCATTGATTTGCTCCATCAGCCCAATCTCCGCAAAAAGTGGTATCGAATACGATACTGTGATTTCGGAAGTTCTTTTCGATGTTACATGTTAGGTCGAAGCGACTTAGCGGTATGCCCCATGTGCTTGGATCAGGGTTCTTGCCAAGAGGTCCAGTGATAACATCACTTTGTTCGCAGACATCTCGAGGGAAGAAGTAGATTGAGATGTACTTTTCCGTCCATTCTGTGGCGTAGATGCCACCTCCGATTGCGTTGAAACCGTCGCCGTAAGTGTTAGTTTCGAGAGTGCCGATGGAACAGCCAGTGCCTGCGGTACAATTCGTGTACAATAGGGAACCGGAATATTGTTGAGAATATGTCGACTGGTTTTTGGTGTAGCAGCCGGGAGCTGTGTGGAGGGTCATGCGGTTGGCTTGGAATTGATTAATGCCTTCTATGATATCGATCTCGCCATTGTTGGGCCAATCCGGTCCGTATGTCCAGAATGCTGGCCTAAATTACGTATTAATGAGCTTTGCCACTTGCACGTGGACAGAGTGGAACAGGTTGTACTCACCATACACCGCAGATACTAGCCGGCATGTGATCGACATCGACGACAATCAAGCCTTTGTAAAACTTCTTCTTGCTTTCTATTCTTACGCTTGGCCTTCCATCGTCGCCTGATAGGGCATTTGTGCTGTCGACACGCATGATTATGTTATCTGTTGTGTTCTGGATGAGGTTCAGATCTCGACAGTCGGAGTAGGGTCTGTACGATACAGTTCCGTGAGTTGGATCTGTCTCGTTGATGAAATTGAATTTGTCGAAGAATGAGCCATTTGTATCGACGGTAAAGAAATCCGTATCCAGGACGTAGTAAGCGAGTGACTGGGCGGCAAAGATTGTCCAGGCTGAAAGTAAGAATGAGAACCTCATCATGTAGAAGTTTTTCCCTGAATGCTGTAAGTTGCATGTTCCTCGAAGAATGTTTTCGAACCAGAATTCAACCTGGAATTGGATTCGTAAAGATTGTATGGGGTCTTTTGTCGTCAGCAAGGTCGGGTGACCTGGAGGTTCAGCATCTCCCTCTTGTCATGTGCGGCGAAAGCACTCCAGTACCTATGAGCCCGAGAGCTGACAACTGACCAATATAAATGGTGTATCCATAATATCGCGACACGACGTGAAACCGGGAGATGAGATGGTCGTGATAGACCAGGATATGCATCGTACAACAGGGTCTGTCCCATCAGGGGCGTGTCATTGAATGCTAAATAATAGCATGCTTTGCGCCACTGCTGCTCTAGTTTAGTGATCACCAGTGCTTGTTCCAATTCTTGTCTGCAATGCTTGCAGAATACATGCAATAGTCAATGGAACTCGTGGAAGCCGACGCGACTTGACAGACAGCGGAACACAACTGCTTCCGAGCAGTCCGATGAAAGCTGCGGCCCGCGCTTGACCAGCGAATGGTGCTGCAACCACGATTCACCTACAAAGGTGCAAATTTGAGACAACACCTGGCATAGCGCTGTACATCTCAGCGTACCTATGTATACGATCGAATACGACGAATTTGGCAAGCTGCTACTTGACTCGAAAAGACGATTTCGTGTACGCCTTCCAGGTTCGTTGAGAGACGTGCGTGCACTCGGTCAGAATATGCACAACTCATAGTATGAGCTTCGCAGCATTCCAGCACCCATGGCAGGGAAAAGGTCGGGAGGTTGTAGGGATTACGGACGTGTACGCGTTTTGTGTCACCTCGCTCTCACCTGTCAAGGGAAGACATGCGAGTGGGCGCGGCAGAACTGGGACAATTGTTGCCACTCGGCATGTCTGCAGCTCGAGTAAGAGTGAGATCTGCTCCGAGGCATGGGCGTGTGTAGTTCATGCTCGCTCGCGCTCGTTCTCCGGGAGCACAAGTCGCAATGCGTAGTTTTATGAGGGAGAAGGGTGAATCGGAAGTGTATCGCGTTCGGCCATTCTCATGCAATTTGCATGAACAAGCCAGCAATTCAAAAAGGCCATCCGAGTAGTCTTGCAGACGTCGACTGCAACTACCTGTCCAAAGTCTAGATCTTCCAGCGACGTGCCAAGAACGTCGGATGATTGGTTACGGCGTGAGAAACTCAGGCTTTCCGAACGAATGGTAAAGGTCGGGCAGAGGAGAGCGTGGAAAGCGCAGCGTGTAATTCTGTGGTCACAGCGGTGGCCAGTACTCATGCGTCGTAACGTCACCATGTCGGCTCGAACCCAATGGCAGCTCGAGCGAGCTGTACAGAGGCGCTGTGGACATGGTATGCATGCTTTGCTGATTCGTGATGAAACGGCCACGAAGATCTAGATGTCCTCGAGCTCGGCGATGGGGTCCGGGGAATGGTGATGGACCTGGAGATGTGGATCAGAATGAATCTCAAGACCGGGACGAGTGCGCATGATCGAATGCGGGTATGATGGAGACGAACAGTGAGGAAAGACGGGGCGTAGACGTGAAGGCAAACGGGGAAGAAGCTTGTGATTGCCACGAACGGGCACTGCCGCCCAGATCAACCTTCTTTTTTGGCGCAGGCAACGTCACGACGATCAGCGTTCTTGGGTCGCGTTTACCCACCACTCGCAAACGGTACAACACTCGTCAGCGTGGGATGCGCGATTGCAT